CAGTATGGGGCGCGGTCACAAACAACCACTTCACTAAAGGCAGCGCTTATTTTTGTTTTTGTGTTTTCCCCATTCTAGTCCACATGAATGTCTATTTTACGTGACTGTAGCCAATGTAGAAGCCATGCTGTATTGTTTTCACTGTCCTGCACACTTCTCACGTTCCCTCAGCCCATATTATAGTAACTTCTAACAAATGCACACTTTACTAAGCCATTCACTCACTGCTCAATTTCACAGGAGATAATCTCCTTCCTCAACAATTATAATTCAGAGCAACCAATTTGAAAAAAAAAAAAAAAAAAGTCTCTTGTTTTTTCACCCTCTCTTTAATCATGTCTTAGAATAATTTTTAACAAAAGCTCAGATCTCTTAAAGACACTGGAGAAGACAAACTAAATAGTGTGCAAGAGTCCGTCACACAGCATGAGTACAGCAGACTCCACGTGCACGGCCAACACCAACCGCAGTGGCGTGAGTGGCTGACCGAGCCCACTGCGTCCTGCTGACCCAAGCAGAAAGGAGGAGCCCTGCCCGTTCCCCAGCACTGGCCGAGCCATGACTCCTGCCCTCCAAACACCTCACCATCTAAGTACCATGTTTGCTAAACCGTCCCCTTAATATTTGAATGGTTGTTTCTAACTTTATATAATTTTAATCTGTAAGAGGATATTGTTATCATCAGGATGACCTCACCTTATATCCTTTTCATGTCTTTTATTCTCTCGAATGATGTCATACATGGGGTCTTCATGTGCCTTAAGGGTCAGAGAAGGTTACGGTTTGGTTAGGCTTCATGGACTACTTGTTAAACAAAAATTAAACCCCTATGTTACTAAAAAGTTATTTTTTTACTGCTTGATGTACCTTTATGTGCAATATTTTCTAATCCTTTTGAAAGGTCACATCGTGGAAAATTCATTAAGAGTACAGAAAGAGTTTTACAATTAGAAAAATAATTAAATATTCTTCATGAGGAGATAACTGCATAAACCATAACGGCATACTCAAGTTTAAAAATGCTGAGGTTATTCTCTCTGTTCTGCGTGGACAGATGACCATGAGATAGTCTTAAGCAAAACAAATGAGTTTCAAAATGATATATAAGAA